AGATAGCTATGATAGCATTAAATAGCTATGCAAATCATTAAATAGCTACGATAGGATTAAATAGTCATGTAAATCATTAAATAGCTGTGCAAATCTTTAAGTAGTTGTAGCAAGTTTAAATAGGTGCAAGATCTTTAGATAGCTATGATAGCATTAAATAGTCAAGTCAAAGATTAAATAGCTATGGAAATTATTAAATAGCTATAGCAACTTTAAATAGCTGCAAGATCTTTAGATAGCTATGATAGCATTGAATAGCCATGTAAATGATTAAATAGTTGTGCAAGTCATTAGATAGCTAAAGCAATTTTAAATAGCTATAGGATCTTTAAATAGCTGTGATAAGATTAAATAGCCATAGCAACATTAAATAGCTAGAAGATCTCTAGATAGCTATGATAAGTTTAAATAGCCATGTGAAAGACTAAATAGCTATACAAATGGTTGAATAGCTATGGAAGCCTTTAGATAGCTATGGCACGGTTAAATAGCTACAAGATCTTTAGGTCACTATAACAGTATTAAATAGCTATGACAATGATTAGTAGTTAGACTAGGAAATCATTGAACAAGTGTCTTCGAAGTCATTTGATGCTAATTATACACAAAAAGAAATTGTATCTCTTTTGAGAATGAGCCATTTATATGTCAAATGAAGAAAATTAATCGTAACCATGAAATTAAATGAAGAGAACGGAAATATAATAGACTGAATTGAAAGGAAACAGCAATTAGAAAGGCAAGCCTTACAAATACAAAAATATAATTTTTAATCTATGAAATAACTATTATACATACATAATTATGAAGAATGGATAATAATAATTATTTGTCATTTACATACATCATTCGGTTTTTATGAAAAAGATTTTACTGATTTTGTGTTTTTTTTTCAGTTGTCTTTTTATTTAAGTTGCTTTAGAAGAAGTTATGCTGCTAGACTGTCATGAGGCATGAGTCTTGTGTGTAAGTGATTATTATAACCAGGGGCGGCGGGACGTTTCAAAATCAGCTAAGGCTCAATGAAAGTTTGTTTGTTATCCTGAGCAAACCTGTTACATATTACTTTGACAATAACTGAGCGAAGTTCAGGTGTTAAATCATTTCAGACTATTTAGTTTTGTTGTCCTCATACAAGATACTGAGCTAGATAAATTTGTTGGTTGCAAATGCAAGATTCAAATATCCGTATCTGATAATTCATCTGAACAATCAAGAGATCTTAGCTAATTTTTGGGCTTACAAAATTTTTTCGAAAATAATATCAAGATCGGATAAACTTGATATATCGGCACAAAGAGAAGCTTGACTTAAAGAAGACTTTCCTGTGTTTTCATGTTGAGAACTCGTTGAAAGATTATATAAATCCACTAAAGCAATTTCTTCCTTTGAAATAGATAGTGTTTGACCTTATACTGTTTTCTAAAATATTGAAAAATTGATCTATCGGATCGTTTTGACTAACTTGACTGATTATAATCTAAAATATTGACATCAATAATACTATACTTGAAAGAAAGCACTTTCTGTGTATGATCAGCATTCATATAAACATGGAATGGTATATTGAACAGAAAGAATAGTATCATGATCTTGCATCATCGCAGCAGATTCATGATGTCGAATAAAATTAGTAAACACAATAGTCAAGAATTCAGATAAATGTGGCAATCGAATTTTTTAGATTATATTTAGTTAATACTGTTGCCACAATGTGAATTATGGAAGCTGTATTTGCACTTAATCAAATGAAGTGAATGATATAATATTATGAAAGAGAAGACAAACAACTCCAAAAATTCATATAAACACCCGAAAAAATTGGATGTTTCCGGACGTCAATCCTGGTTTTCAATGGCCAGTGAAAAGTAGCCAAAAAAAGAAGTCGCAAAAACGATCGATTCTTCCACAAACAACTCTTTTTTCTACCGCATTTTCTCTGATCCCAAAGTAAAAAATCCGGAATATGGATGTAAACGCTTAAAAAGTCGACTTTTAGGGCGTCTATTCAAGTGCTGAGAGAAGTGGCTGTGAAAAATTTCTTATGATTACACTTAAAATTTACTCTTTCTATAAAGTTTCACTACTACTTTCCTCAACACGCATTTTCTGAAAGTTTTGTCTGTCTGGATTGAATACAAATATTTTACCATTTGAGTAAACGATTTCACGGTTGATCTATATTTCAGACCACTCTATATGAATAAATAAACGATGCCACTAAGAAACATGGTGACAAAGATAGCAGCCTTTATTGCTACCTTAATTTTTCAGTTTTCCTTGTCGCAATTCATACATAAGCATGTAAAAAGTTTTAATTTCAGCATTAAAATAAGTTTTACGTAGCGAAACGATGCTAGAGTCGAGTGTGAACAAACTTTAGAGTCGTGATTCAGATTAGGCTCAGTTTAATAGTGTCGAAATCAGGTGAGACTCAAGCTTTTTAAGCCTACACGTTCCGCCGCTCATGCATAATCCAATGATTGGTCTAGCATAAATACCACTTTATGTAAATAAGATAAAAGCTATTACTAAAAGCCATAAGCGCATAGTAAGTGATGTTACTACTCTCCGAATTTTTATTTTTCTTTATCACAATAGATAAAGCAACATATTACAAGTTTGGAATCTTCGCACTGATATAATATTCGTCTGATAGAACAAGTCTAAACCTTCATGCGAATAGATATCGAATTCATACTTTAGGTGAGGCTAAGCCTACAGGTATCAAATTCAGGTGAGACTCAAGCCTCATCTAGCCTATACGTTCCGCCGTCTATGATTATAACTATGACAGTACAGAAAATATTTGAGAAAAATTTCATAATCTATATACTCTTTTCTAAGAGCTATTGTTTTGAATAAAAATATGATCACCAAGGGTGTGGATGTGGGTGTGAGTATTCATTGGTACAAGTTAACAGCTACACCCATACCTGCACTGATTGCACTTGAATATGTCAACAACAAACATGAATATCATTTCGCTCAGTTTTTGTTTTATAACAATGTTGTCATAATAAACATCTTTTTTTATTTACTACACATTTTCGGTATATTAGTTGACCCTATATTACACGTTTTTAGATCATTCAATAATAACTGTATTTCCTGTTCAATAGAATGAACAAAAGAAAGAGACATGATGAAGTGTTACTATTATTATGCAAATATGTAACAAATAAAAGTTTTGATATAAATGTTGATCATCTGTAAAAATAATTTTGATTAATTTTATTAAGTCAAACAGAATTATTTCAAATGAAGACAATTATTCAAACAAATAAAATGACAAAGATCTAGAGTGGTAGTGAAAATACAAAAACAAAATGTTGATTCTTATATACACATTATGGAACAAAAAATGTCCTTTCACTATGTTTGATTATGATTGTCGATTTCAAGTATTCTATTAAGAAAAAAGAAAATTTTTCATAATACATTTAAACTTGATTGATCTTCACATAGGCAGGGGAAGGAATTCATTTGATAAGCATAGTGATACATCGCTAAAAGGATGGAAAGCGACAAAATAATGTCAGTCTTCAATTGAGAATGTTCAACTATTAATTTATACACGTTTGTAGTGAATATTATGAGAAGTATTTTCGTAGAAAATTCAAGGTGCAGTAATGGATATTGACAGACATTAATAAGAAAAACATAATTTTTGTTGACAAGCCTAATTTATCCATTTTTTAGCTTTTTAAATAGAAAAATAATAGAATATCCTTTTCCTCAAATCTAAAAATAAAATTTTAAAGAAGTAGGACACTAAGTCAATAAATATATATGTATTCAATATGTACACAACAACTTTTATTTTCGTATTCAAAATTATTATAATGAGATTTTTCCATGTTCACAAGCAAGATTACTCTTTCCAGCATTGATTGTTTCCTCTATAGATTATTTCTTTCTCTTCAATTCATGTCAACGAACATTAATCGCAGTTGATTATCGAGAAGAATTATAAATATTCATTGATATAGTTATGTACTCGATATTGTTCGTTTTGAACATGATATTAATTTTCGAAATTCCCTTCGAAAATCTTGTCTATTGATTGTATGTAATATAAAATTTAATGCACGTTTTGTATACGATGATGATTCAATTACATCAAGTATAATTAATGTCGTATCAGAAAATGTAATTGATGATGTGAAACGAGATATACATATATAAGGGATGAACACGTTTAACACATAGATGCTAACGTAATTAATAATAACATGATCGTAATGGGGTGTTGGCATACTACATCATCAATTTTTCTTTTGTACCGACTCTTTCGTTGCCATATATTCGACATCTTTCTGACGTCATTAAACTAATTTTTACATGTTTTATGGTATATCCACTTCAAGTTTTCTGTCATTATGCTTAAAATTTGTACAGAAGGAGAACTATAAAACATTTTTTTTTGCGTTTTTTAGCGAGAAAAATATGCAGCAGAATTTTTATTTGTTATAACTCAAACAGAATTGCACTTCAAGAGTGATAAAGTAGATAGGGTAGAAATTTTAATGTTCCTCATTCTCCACAGATCATGACTGACATATTAGCAATAACGCATCATGGACGTGACAAAATCGACTTTTCATATTAAAATTCGAATTGTAGCGAGCATTAAAGCTAGTAAATTTGCTCGTCTTACTAATGAATATGATTTTGATATGGGTTTTTTCATAGAGCGTGCCTCCTTCTACCTTCGATGGATACGCCTTTAAACTCTTGTTAAGTAAAAGTTTCAGACAGATAATACTAGCTCAAACGTTGACTTTTTCAAAGTTTTATAGCTATTGTTACGTTGTAGACATAATCCAAAGATAGGTTTTCAACTTGCAATTTATTGTTGGCAATTTTTGATAGCTGGCAAAGGAATCTCTCTTCAAGTGCTAAATTATTTTTGAATCAAGACTATATTCATTCAATGATCACTGAAGAGCAGTGGACAAAGCTTAGAATAACTCACTTTTCAATTTTCTTATCGGATTAGTAATCATGCAGTCTGCTCGTCTGATATTGTTGAGAATAGGTGGAACAGAATAGAACTAAGGAAAAACTAGTTCGATTCAAAAGGTTAGGGTGTGAGTGTGGATGCGGGTGCGTGGCTCTGGTTTTACTTACGTCCGCTCACACTCACACTCTAGAAAGTCAAAAAGGAGAAATTTTCTTCAACTCGATTTTTTTAATACATTTGTGTAGTATCATTTTCAAATTTTTTTTTAGAATAAAACGTAAATATTATGAAAAGTTTCAATACATACCAGTGCTCTCTATGTAAATCTGTTTTTTTCTTATTGGTCATACTGATCTAACCAATATTAAAAGAAATTTATCGAACTGGACTAGACTGTTTTTAATTCAACAGAAATAATTATAATCGACCGATTTGTTTTCCATCTTTGTTTTATTATGATGTTTGCTTGGATATAAAAGTTGATTTATGTATAGAAAATTTTATTTTCATCATTATCATATTTGATAGTTATTTATTATTCTGCTAAAAATAAGCTTCGCATTTTCTTCATATAAAATGACAGAATTAGTTAATTATTTAATAGCTATTGAAGAAAACAACCATAATGATGTTATTAAAGTATGTGTAGTATGAATTTATTGATTAAAAAGTAATTTACATATGTATGTATTTCTTTCAGATTCTTACTTCGATAATTGACAAAACACCATCTAATAATAAAGCTCAAATGATTCTTTTGTTAAAAGGTCGAATTAAAGCTTATTTTCAAAGTAAAAAATACAACTGTAAGTAAATTAAATATTATATAAATATTAAAACACGTTTTATCGTTTAGCGGTGTTAAATGATTGTATTCAATTAGGATCAATAGGTTACATTACTGAAAATGATGAACATATTTCAATTATCGAACGGTAAGACAAATCTCCTTCTATTCTTATGAATTAATCCATTATTTTTAGTGAGTCCCAACATAGAGTCGATAAACAAAAAGCAGTAAAAACTTTCAATAATCTTTCAAATAAATGCAAGTACATATACATTTTAAACATTTATTTAATAAGAATATTTCTATTCTTTTAGTTAAACGGAAAAAACTTTCTCATTAGGCTAATCGTCTTGATGCAATTAATGAGGATAAAATGTTTGATAAGTATGTTTAATATTTGATTTATAAATAATCAGTTGATTGAAACTAGAATTTTATCAAGTTATGTTTAGATATTTTTCTAATTTTTGTTTCAATTTTCGCTTAGAAATGGCTTATTCTAAACAGATGGCTCAATACAGAAAAAAAAAGATAATTTTTGTTTCTAGTCAAAATTTGTGTTTTTTTGTTTATCTGTTCAAGTCTTGTTGTTATGTTTATATTGTGTTATACTTAATAAATAAGATTTACTGATAATCACTTGAAACAACTATTATTCAATTAATTAAAGTCAAAGAGGATATAAACGTTTTTAATAGCTTTAAATGACAAATACTTTATTTTTTTTGTTAAAACAAACTTGCGAATAAAATTAGTTAAACTTTTGACTATAATCGATTCTTTTACATATAAAAGCAAAAATTATTTACTCAGTTCTCATTATGAAATAGCATTGACATAAAAATTTCTAAGATAGTCTCAAACAATGAAATACATAGTCCTATGTTGTTAAATAAATAAATCAATGGAAATGAACGAATATCAATAATTTCATGAAGAATAATCAATGCAGTTATATGAAATGCTGAATATTCTTTTAAACGATCAAGATATCAAGTTCATTCTGGTTGACCACTTTTTATTGTTAGTTATCGTCGGAAAAAATAATCTTTGCTTCTAAAGAACAAAATCGATAAAAGAACATTTGATTTTTCTGATTTTTTATACAATTATTATTTATTGATGGTTGAATATTTTTTCTGTCATTGTGGTGTTTCTAAATGAAGGAAAAAATTATTCTGGTACTGTTAATGTGGGTGTGGTGAGTGTAGGTGTCCGGTGTCATTCAAGAAAGGGCACCCACACCTCTGATTTGCAAATAGGGCTGATTTTCTTAGCAAATCGACTCTCATCCTTTCATTCGGACACTAAAGCACCATTTACTGCTACCAATTTTATTATTCCTTATTATTTCACGCACAGTCGATTTGGCAACGCTTTTGAATGAACATTGGAGAACATTATCCTCTAGTATACGCAGTAGCAGAAGGTGTTATCACGATGGCTTTCCAAAGCTATGACGATTTTTTAAAATCTTGTAAACATACAACAAAACTTTGACTTAAATTGTCACAGGTTTTTAGTCAATATATACAGATATTTAATATTTAATTTCTACTGTAAGAGATAGCGCTTAAATTCTAAAGAAAAAAAGAGAGGAAAGAACAGGACAATGTATACTTCTTTAGATAAGCAAACCTTCAATTATTGAAGATAAATTATTCATTCACTCTTAATCTCGTCAAAATCATGTCTAGTTTTGTTAAAAACAATTAATTCAAATGGAATCAATTAAGGAAAAAAACATTGTAATAAGAAAATTTAATTTTCTAATGTGCCTCTGCACATTATTGTTGCAGCTCGATAGTCATGATATTGTTCACCTATAACCAAGGGAATCGGCATTCAAATTTGTTGACGGATATTTTCCAATAAAGAATCGAGTCGGTTTCTATCGTGGTTAAGCAAATCAAGAAGGCGTTGGCGTGCTTTTTGCACTACACAATACCATATAGTGGAGTGTGAAGCAAAACGCGTTTCCAATGAAACAAGAACAATAGACGATATGAGAATTTGAACATTTCTAGTTAATGATGAGAAACTTGCCAGAGGCTTGCCCGTCAATTTTTCAATAATGTTTCCATCCAAATCCCAAACACCATCAAACTTTTGTTTATTTATTAAATAGCGAACAATATCTTGATCATTTGTCGGCCACGTCTCTTCTTTCTCCTTAGTTGTATCATCATCATCTTGTTCATGCTGAAAAGATGAGAGGACACCATGCTCCTTCCGAGCTGTTGAAAAACATTGATCGAGGATCATATCTCTATCAGACAACGATGAATTACTTGAACGATTGATCGCATGAGGCGAACGTTGGGAGTATGCCATGCTCTGGTGATCTGCTAAATGTTTGGTTAACAAATCATCATCACTATCCGATGACGATGAGCTACTTAATCGACGATCCGCAGAATCTGATTTTACAGAGCAGTTGAGCAAATTAATCGGTGAACTTTGGGCACAGTCGGATGCATCGTCATCTGATGACATTGAGATATTTGATCCTTTGGCTGCATTAAACGACCTTGCAGAATATGCCATGGGCATGGATATTGAGTTATTTTCACCATAGAATATATCGCTGTCATTCGATGATGATGATGATGATTCTGATCTACTATCTGAATCATCCATCGTTGAGCATTGCGCCATACACGCAACTGGTGATGAAAAAGTTTCGGTTGACACGAAGTGAGTCCCCATACTTGACTTTTCTATTATATTCGAAGCCAGAGCATAATTTGCTGAATGTCCTATATGCGAATGTTGATCATCGGCGGAAAGTTGGCTGGGTACTTCACACAAGGTCATTGCGGCATTGCTTGTATTGGTCCTTTTTTCTATTCCGACAAACGCCGTGTATGGACTGAGGATTTGATGTTTAAGCGATAGTTCGATAATTCGTTTTTTTAGTGTTTCTTTCTCATCGTTGGTTGTTGTCGATGATTGAAGATTCTCAAACCGAGCCTGCACCGAATCAGCGATGTTTTCTCTTGGAATTTTGGCATGTTGCAATTCGAGAATGAGGGCTTTGGCTGCCAGTCGAGCAATAGTACCTGCGCTGGTTACATTTGGTATGTGATCAATTCTGGTTTCGCTCAGTTGGTATTGATCTGTATACAATTCGACATTGGCATTGTGATCGAATGTCACGGATGAGTCATCCATCAATGCATAGATGATGAGACGATCATTGGCATAGACGGGTGGTATTTTGGTTGGAGCACTCATTACCGATGTGCCCAAGTTCCATTTGACTTGAATATTGGTTATGCAGGATTGCAAAGCCTTTTGTAATTGCTCACCGACATAAACATCGACGCTGCTCTTGGGCGGAATAAAAACAAACCGACCGTTGGTTGCACGCGCGAGACCTTTGACAAGCGAACGACTTGGTGAACCACCCAAACCGAAAGAAAAAATTCTAGTGGAAGTCGACATTGACCGACAGAGATCAATAACTTGACTAACATTAGCAATTTCACCGTCAGTTAGAAGAAAGATTTGTCGAGCTTGACCTTGTTCAGGTGGATGATCTTGTAGCCATTGAAGTGGTTTTAACTACAGTCGCAACGTATGATAAATTACATATCGAAAACAAAGCATGTAATCTAACTTACCAATTCGGTACCGCCCATGTTTGCTTTCATTTTTTTGATTAGTTGTTCGGCTTTTCGTGCATTTTCTTCATTGTATACAACTGTGGTTTCATTAAACAGTTTTTCATGATTACTTCCAAATCGGATAATGTTAAAATGGCAATGCACTAGAAGACTTTTGAGGAAAAGAATCATCGCTTGACAGGCCAATCCAATCTTATTCTCGTGATCCATTGATCCACTGCAATCAACAATAAAAATGAATTCATCGGTTATTACTCCATCGTTCATCGTACGACGAAAGTCCTCGTCGTTTGGAGTAAACGAAGCCATAACGGCCCCAGGCTCAACAGCGACAATTGTATTCGATCGATTTTCAGTCAAGTTGATGTCTAGAAGAATATCTCGATCCAAATGAGTATTTTGTTGGCTAAATTCGACAGCATACATATCTTGTTGACTGAAATCAACTTGAATTGGATGAGATGGCGAACTAATTCGTGAAACTCCGATTTTATCTACTCGACAGTGAAATTCGATAGTATACGGACTTGATTGCACATATTTTGACGTGGTCCCAACAGGAGGGCTAATACCGCCTTGATCAGGATTGTAGCGTGGAGCAATCGCAGTTGGAACAACAAAGCGAACCTTGTTACCATGTTGTATAAGATCAAGTTCAGAGACGTAAGAAATTGAAATAGGCTACTATTTAAGCGGTCAGTAAAATAAATTAAATGATCAGTAAAATAGATGAAATGGTCAGTAAGATAAATGGTCAGTAAAAAGTATATAAATGATCAGTAAAAAGATTGAATGGTCAGTACTTAGACTATCACTCATATAAAAAAAGATTGGAAAAAATCTAATTTTAATCGATTTTTTAAATCAAACCAGTGATTAAAATAAATTAAATTTATAAATATTAATTTTAATGGCGGCGACGGTAAAATGCGTTTTCTCAAACTTTATGTTGAAAACTCAGATGTTCGATCGCTTTTTCGGACTCCTTGCCTCGGAAAATTAGTAGATATGATGCTAGATCGACCTTTGACATAAATTCCATGCTTCAAGACTCGATATCAATTGGTACTTATTCATTTAAAAAGAAAAACTATTAGAATTGATTAAAATCGATTTAAAAATTTTAATCGATTTTAATAGATTAAAAATCGAATAATCTGACTAAAATTGAGTAAAATAGTCAATGAAAAAATTTTAATCGGTTAAAATGGATATTTATAAATTTAATTTATTTTAATCACTAGTTTGATTAAAAACCTGGTTAAAACTGTCCCATTTTAATCGATTTTTAATCACAAAAAATCGATTAAAATCAGATTTTTTCCAATCTTTTTTTTTATATGAGTGATAATCTAAGTACTGACCATTTAATCTTTTTACTGATCATTTATACATTTTTTACTGACCATTTATCTTACTGACCATTTCATTTATTTTACTGACCGCTTAATAATATCCCATTGAAATATGACACTCTTTTTCCGGGGGTAGGGCACCCACATTGATAATAAAGCTGTCTTGCGACTTGTCATCTTGTTCGAGTAAATAGGCACCATGGCCTTGCCGAAGAGCAGTGTTGTATTCTTTCTGAGCCTTCTTTTTCTCTTCCAATTTAGCAATAACTTCTCGATCATCAATGCATGCTATGAAAGCGTAGACAGCTGCTTGTTCTTCAATAGGAAAACAGTAAACTGCTTCAATCGGTGTTTTTTCATTATTGCGAAATACTTGATTGATAGTTACATCAACGGCGAAAGATCGTATTGTTGCGTCGACACTCACTTGCTTGAGTGGCACGTACTTTTGCAGTTATCGACGATCGCCGATAGAATTCGAGTGAGTTTTGATCCGAAGCATATTAAGAAAAAAACTATGCGCTCGTCTGGGTAACTTTCACCTACTTAAAAAGCAAAGTACAATAATGAAAACATGTAAGCGACAAAGTAACTCACTATTGATAAAGAGAGCAAACAACATGTGTGACACAATGAAGGAAGAAAGAAATGACGCATAGAGAAGAGACATGACTAAACGTTTACGAGGTGTTCTGCAATACTGAGTGATTGGGAAAAAATTGATGATGTGAAAATGATGACTGAATTGAATAAAAACAAGAAGCGTTGACAAAATACAATCCCTAATAGACTGCAAGTATTTGAAATGAAGCAAAATGAAAATTATTTCCTTTTTATATAGCTTTGTAGTACTATAAAGTTCTGTATTACTACACCCACAAATTTTGAAAGATATATTTATCGGCTAGTATCAATACTGCCGATTGTAATCATGATGATGTTCCAGTACACCATGTTTAAGTCACGATAAACATTACAAGAATCCAGTTTGATGCTTAAATTAAACTTGTTCAATCAAACTTCAGTGACAATATAATATGAATCTACATAGCACAGAGCTATCGCCAATTCGTTCATATGAATCGATTCGGAATCGAGTCCTATTTTGAAAATAATATGTCCTTCAAAACGAGCCGGTGTGGGTATGGATGTGAGTGTGCGTGTGTGTGGGTGTGGGTGTGTGGGTATGCCGGTGTGGCTGTGGGTGTGGATGTGAGTAGGTGCCGGTAAGAGCATGAAACACCCACACCCACACCCACACCCTTTTAGACCCAAATATATGATTGATTTGTCCATGTAGTAGGTGATTTTTTAGCCATTGCAATAAATTAATTCACCCTTGTTCGGTCGAACCTGGCAGTGATCTTATATTCTGGCAACCATTTTGTTGCTAGTTTGTGTTCTGGAAACCGTCGGAACTCTTCTGGATCAGAAGCTGCCTCCAGCTCGGTCGCTGGAACCTAAAGGACTAGGCCGGAACAACGTCATAATAGAAGAGAACCGCTCGCCTCTCTGATGATTTCGACAGAATGAACAATTGATCTAGGCATGGTCATGTTTCAAGAGTACTCCTTTCCATTTTGTCCAGAATAACATGAAAGTATAACAATGGATGTTGTAGATCAGTTCAACTTTTTTTTCTCGAATCTTTTTCAAATGCTTTCAGATAAATTATTTTCGAATTTCATTATGATCCGCTACTCGTTAGTGTCTTCTTCAAGGAACATAACAAAAAGCGTGCTTATAAGAGCAATTAAAATCAGCTCAGTAATAGTGATGTTGTCTGTTTGACAGAGTTTTTTCTTAGAATGACCGTGTACATAGATAATCAGCTAATGTATGCATGCCGTTTGTTAGTCATATGTTTTATATCAGCAGATTTCAAGGAATGAAACATGCAACATTCGAACTGTCGACAAAGTTTTGGTGCGTTTCTTGGAAATATTTAAGGTTGTGCAAGATACGTATGTTTTGTCACTTCTGTAAAGATGCAAGCTTCTCATAAATTTTTTCTAAGCTCAAAAAAGATTCTCATTTTTGTTTGGATCCAATTGGATGGAAACATGAATGTTTAGCTCCTATTAATACAACTTAAATAAATCTACTTCCATATGAAAACTTCATAGAAATGTTTATTGTATGCTTTGTGGCTCAGCGTTTCTTGGATAGAATTTTTGAGTACACACTGACTTTCATATGAAGAGTAACGAAAATAGAAAATAATTTGGTCTCATATTCCTTGCTCTTTTCTCAAACTATGAAAAGTAGCTATTACTAATTAGTAACAGAACAACAGTGTGTAGACATGCTTGTCCTATGAAAGATGTTAATTACCAATTTTGCCAGTTTAACGTCTTGGATCCTGCTGTCTTCAGATTGAAGACAACAGAACGCCAAAACATATTTTGCGTTCTGCACTATACGCGCATAAGCCAGTTTTCGGTGACCGAATGAAAGAGAGTGTTTTTTTGTTTTGTCTCAGCGTTCGTTTAGAACACAAGAATCACAGAATCTTGGAGGTTAACGTTATTCGACATATTTTTGCATCTTATACTAAGACAGGAAAAGCCTATTATTTACCCTTTTTACGATTCCGGTACCGAGAACAGATAATCGGAATTGAAATAGTCTAATCTTAGTCTACTAGTGACTTACAGTATTAGATCAATAAAGAAAAGAATTTTAAGTATTTTCACTGAATGTTTTAAAACTCAACTTACCGAATCCAGTTGGGCCCAAAAACAAAATCCTTTTTAATACAGCAGGCTTTGTTGCTACACCTGAAGATGTATTTCTGGCAGCCATTTGAGGTGATCTAATGCCCTTTGAAGGTTTTATTTCGTTAATCTCAGAGATGCTTCTCAGTAATATATGAAAACAATAAGTGTCTCTCGCGTGGAGAAATGTATTTGTTTCTACTGGCAAAAATTTCTTGATTTTTGCCTTTCAATGCACGCGTGGGTGTGGGTGGGTGTGGGTGTGGGTGGGTGTGGGTGGGTGTGGGTGGGTGTGGATGTGCGTGTGGGTGTTAATCTTCCCTTTATTCATACTCACACCCACACCCACACCTTTTTCAAAGGGACCAAGTCCCTCTTGGCACCCTCTTGGCTCCACCACTGGTTGCTGAACTTCACTGAATTTTTTTTCTGCTTTAATTGAGAAATGATTATCGTGTGATTATCTTTGAATTTTGTAATTCACGAGGGTCCTGACCTGATTGTGTCTGTACAAGGCTGTCTACTTCGATTTCTATTGTTTTTATCTGCGCTTTTTACATATTGACTTTTAATGTCATATGATAACCGTGATTAACCGTTAGAAGTAAGTATACAAGAAAAAAAGAAGGGAGGAGAAGGAGAAAGCATTGCATGCGACTCTTATTGTTATTGTTATTGCTATCTGAGTGGATATAAATAGTACGACTAATAAGTTGGCAAATATTTTGAAAACAATACACGCAGTGTAAAAAGCTATATTATCAAAATGACATTTGGTATTCGCAATATTATTGGAATTCATCGTCTACATACAGGTCGCAAAGACTATTCTGCTCCGCTGGTATTTAGAACGTATGGGCAGTGGTCTGAATGGCAACAAAAACTTTTTGATAACCTTATTGGGTATCATTTAGATCATGCGCTTGAGTTTAGTATCGCAGTTCTATGTTGGCTT